GTCAGAGTATACACAGGAAAGTGGCTTTGAGAGGCAGGCACTCGCTGGATCTTTGGGCAGGTTCCTGGCCATCCTCTTCTGAAATGGGCTGGCTGTTCAGTGATGAAAATTTGGGAGCTTGTCATGCTAATGATGTGTAAATGCATTTTAGCTCTTTTATTAAGCTGGTCTGCCCAGGTTCATTCTCATTAATATTGATGGTTGGGATATGTTCCTCCAGAGAGTCTGTGAATAGCTCTCCTATTGTTCAGATAAAATTTATAGCAAGTTGGACTAAAGGGAGGCCCCAGTGAGTCCAGGCTTGTACTTCTCACAGGAAATGAAAACTCTATCCATGGTTTTGTATGGGTGTGGACCTTGAGTCTATAGATACAGATGTCTTGTAATATTTTTTTTAATGAGCTAATTTACTCTGCTGTTAGGAATCCAAGGGGAATGTGAGTTTCTCTGCTGAGGCAGAGAGACATGGTACAGATTTCCTAATATCACACCCTTCTCCACGGTCACTGGGTTTGGCAAATTCTCTACCACAGTCTCTGCCTCCAGCAAAGGGTGACAGTTTCCCTTGGATGCAAAAGTGCAGGCAGGACTGCAGAGAGTTCCCTGCCCGGCGGAATGGAGGGAGGTTTTTGCTCAGAAGAGCCCACACTGAGTCCTGGCACTGAAAGCGGTGTCACCTGCCCCTGCCAGAGGTTTCCCACTGCTGCATCTCAAATGGGGCTTGAAATTTCTGGCCTGGCCCGGAGGGAGGAAGTGGCTTTTCCACTCAGCCGTGCATCTGCTGTTGAGTTCTGGGTGGGCTGGGAAACGATGGTGGAGGACAGATTTGGGAATTGCAATCAAACATTGCCTCTGGTACATTGTATAACAGTGAGATAATCTCTACCTCCTCAAAACAATTTTTTTCTGGAGGGTATGGAGGGGGGTCTCACAAGAGCATGAACCCTCTGATGAGATCATGAGCCCCAATTCCAAAAAAGTGAAAAGTGAAGTGAAAGTGTCAGTCGCTTAGTCGTGTCCGACTCCTTGTGGCCCCATGGACCGTAGCCCACTAGGCTCCTCTGTTCATGGGATTCTCCAGGCAGGAATATTGGAGTGGGTAACCATTCCCTTCTCCAGATCTTCCCGACCCAGGGATCGAACCCCAGTCTCTCACACTGCAGGCAGATTCTTTACCATCTGAGCCACCAGGGAAGCCCATAGCATGACCAGTTCAGTACAAATGCAGATATTCGATTCCTGAAAGACATTGCACTCGTGGCTCAGGTGGAACCTTCACCTGTAACACCACAGACTCAGATAGGCGCCGCCAATGATCCTCTCCGTCAATACTGCATCTCCTTGCTGCTCGGCTTCTCATGAGATGTTCTTATGGTGGAGATGGTCAGCACAGGTAGGAGTGTCCTCTGGACCACTGGGTATTATTATGGTACCCAGGCCTCTTTGGGTTGAAGGGTGAGGTTGGGTCCATGGTAGTATGTCTGGTCTCTGAGTCATGACAGAAGGAAGGGGAAGCAGTCACCTGTGATGAAGACCTGCTCTAGGCCTGAATTTCCTCTATTCTTACACACAGCCCCTGGGTCCAATCAGGAGGGGCTCAAGGGGGATGGGGAGCAGATGGCATGGGGACTCAAGGGAGAACAAGTACAAATTTGATACCACCTTGAAGTGGAGAATAGAAAACAGGGGTTCTGAAAACAGCTGAAAAGCTAGGGACATGACCACCCAATGTAACATGCTACCTTTGATAGAATGCAGGATTAAAAAATTAGCTATAAAGGACATGAGGGGACCACTGGGGAAATTTGAATATGACCATGTATTAGATAATATTGTTATATCAATTAATACATTTCTTAAATGTGATATTAAGGCTATGGGTATATAATATACCCATATAGTTTATATATGAACTATATGGAGAGAGATATGAGGAAATGTCGTAAAATATGGAGTGGGTAAATGTGGTGAAAGTTATGTGGGTGTTGATTCTTCTTCGGCAATTTTGAAATTTTTTAAAATGAAAAGTGTTGGGGGAAATGCTTGAAAGTCAAATATGTGCTTTAGTATACAGGTTCTCTATTCTGCAATCTGTCTCTTCTGTGTTTATTCATCCCCCTTTTAGTTAGAACTCACTTTTGCTGTAATTTAAGCTCATTTCTTCATTTTTTCTGTTCTCTCCAGAGACAGAGTCAGCAACCTCTTTGTAAATCTAGGGCTCAGCTGGCTGGACGATGCGGGGGAGCTGCAGGGCTGTTCTCAGGCTGGAACCGGTATAATATTTATCTGTTGTCTTGGGTTCCTCTCCTCACCACCCCAGTAGGACCCACTGTTGAGTAATAGCAGCGGCTCTCAGCCTGGAGCCACACTGCAAATATCTGGAGAGCATTTTCAGAGTATACGCATGTTGGTCTTGCTTTCCAGGGGCGCTGAGATCTGCAGTGGGGTGCAGACTTCTGTTGGGCGGATAGACTTAACTGTTTGACTTCAGCCACCATGGTCTCTCTCAGCCTTGACCTGCCTCCTCTCCTGTCATCACGTGCTGAGTAAACCCCTTTCATCTGAGGGCTTTGCCTCAGCCCTTGCTTTCTGCTCAGATTTCACTGTGGTCTGCTTGAGTGGGGGCTTCCCTCATAGCTCAGATGGTAAAGAATCTGCCTGCAGTGCAGGAGACCCAGGTTTGATCCCTGGGTTGGGAAGATCCCCTGGAGAAGGAAATGGCAAACCACTCCAGTACTCTTGCCTGGAAAATCCCATGGACATAGGAGCCTGCAGTCCATGGGGTTGCAAAGAGTCGGGCGCGACTGAGCGACTAACACTCTGCTTGAGTGGGGCCATGGTAGCCCCCAGGATGCCAGCTGGCGCTGTGGCAGGGTGGAACTAGACTTGTCCTGCGCTGTCCCTCACCCCTGGTGTGCCTTGGAGGAGTTGTGGGCAAGTGCCTGTGGACCCCTGTGCAAGGTAACTTGAGCATCCGACAAGACTCCTCTGGGTGGGCTTCCCTGGTGGTTTGGTGGTTACGAATTTGCCTGCCAATGCAGGGGAAACAGATTCAGTCCCCGCTCTGGGAAGATTTCACACGCCTCGAGGCAACAAAGCCCGTGTACCACACCTACTGAACCTTCTCTCGAGAGAAGCCCCGTGGTGAGAAATCCACACACCACCAGTGGAGAGAAGCCCTCACCCACAGCTAGAGAACGCCCGCGTGTGCAGCAGCCAGGCCAGGAGGGCCGAAATAAGTAATTAGATACATCTTAAAAGCTGACAGACAGAGAAGAAAGCAGTCATCGGGGAAAGGAGAGAACCGAGGCCTTGAGGGGGAGATGGGCTGCAGTTGTACCCATAATGCTATTTAGTTTTTAAAATTTTAACAGTTAATATTTTTTAGGGATTCAGATCAGTACATATATTATTTAAAAGAGGAAGAAACATGCCAGCAAGGAATACAATCCTATTTAAAGGAACTCCTTTCTCTCCATAAAATTATATATACATTGTGTTTTAATCTTTTTAATTCAAGTGAATAATCAGAAATCTTTATTTTTTGGACGAATCTCAACAAAACTATGCTGAGTGAAAAAAAAGTCAATCTCAAGAGGCTACGTCCTGTGTCATTCCATCTATCGAACAACCTTCTGGACATGACAGAATGACAGAAATGAAGGACAGATTGGTGGGTGCCAGTGGTTTGGGGACTTGCTGCAAAAGGGTACCATGAGGCACTCTGGTGTTTATGGAAATGCTCCATGGCTAGGCTGAATTGGGGTCCACTTCCTGGGTAGCGTATTGCACTATAGTTTTGAAAGATGTTGCCATGGTGGAAACTGGGTAGAATCCTACGTTAGGATCTATGTTATTTCTTACAACTTCATGTGAACCCTTAGTGATCTCAGAATAAAACAATTAGGGAAAAAAGGATATAAGGCAAATATGACAAAAAGGTAACATCTATGCTCTGTGGGTCATGGAAAATCTGTTTTGCTTTTTTTTTTTCTATAACCGTTGTTGTTTTCTTAGTGTTTGAAATACTCAGTAGAAGTAAACCTTCCTGGGACTCCCCTGGTGGCCCAGTGGTTAAGACTTCGCCTCCCAGTGCAGGGGGTGCAGGTTTGATCCCTGGTTGGGGAGCTAAGACCTGACATGCCTCAGGGCCACAAAACAAAACCATAAAACAGAAGCAACACTGTGACGAATTCAATACTTTAAAAATTGTCAAAAAAAAAAAAAAGATAAAAAAACCCCAAAGACCCTTCGAGAGCTATCCAGGCAGCCTTAGACTTGGGTATCCTTGCTCAGAACCAGCTCCTGGTCTGCTCAGGCTCATGCAATGGAGGGACAAGCCTGAGGAGTGTTGCAGGTGGCGGTGCTGATCCAGCTGAGGACCATGCTCCTGACCTCTTACCTTGTTAACCTGGGAAGGCACTTAACCCTCCTTCAGAGCTGGGACACCCTGCTTCCCCCCCAACCCATGGGACTCTGCTGAATCTCTTGGGCATGCCCGCAAAATGGGCAAAATCTATTTTGATGCTTGGTGGCTGTTCAGTTCAGTTCAGTCGCTCAGTCCTGTCCAACTCCTTGTGGCCCCGTGGACTGAAGCACACCAGGCCTTCCTGTCCATCACCAACTCCTGGAGCTTATTCAAGCTCGTGTCCATTGAGTCGGTGATGCCATCCAACCATTTCATCCTCTGTCGTCCCCTTCTCCTCCTGCCCTCAATCTTTTCCAGCATCAGGGTCTTTTCAAATGAGTCAGTTCTTTGCATCAGGTGGCCAAAGTATTGGAGTTTCAGCTTCGACATCAGTCCTTCCGAAGAATATTCAGGTGGTTGAATATTTGCTTCTAGACTAAAAGAACGGTCACAAGGACGTCTGCCTTGTCACCAGAATGCTTCAGTTTTGGGTATGGCCAGAAAGTTCATTCGGTTTTTCCATGCCATTTTACGGAAAACCCTGAACAAACATTTTTGCCAATTCAATAAAAGAAAAAAAAAAAAGGTAACATAACTACCAGAACTGATTTATTATAGTTAAATACAAATTTACAATACATTCAAAAGGGACTAAATGAGACACGTACAGAGTTTAAATGTAAAAACAGAAAGGACTAACCAAAGGAGCACTTAGATTGGATTATAATCTCAGGAATCTTTAAAGAGTGAAGTGTTTGCCATCCAGCATCACAGGACAGAATTTGGCTGTTGCAGGTCTATTCACAAGGATTCTGAATGACGATCAGAAGATATTCCTTATCTGTGGAGAGAGATGGACAAGGTTAATCCACCCTAAAAATCTGTTGTTTAGTCACTAAGTCGTGTCTGACTCTCTGTAACCCCATGGGCTGTAACCCACCAGTCTCCTCTGTCTGTGGATTTTCTCAGGCAAGAATACTGGAGTGGGTCGCCATTTCCTACTCCAAGGGATCTTCCTGGCTCAGGGATCAAACCTGCATCTCCTGCATTGGCAGGGGTATTCCTTACCACTGAGACACCAGGGGAGCCCACCTTATGTGTTGTGTGTGTGTTAGTTGCTTAGGCGTGTCTGACTCTACATAGACTCTACATAGACTATAGCCCACCAGGCCCCTCCATCCATGGGATTCTCCAGGCAAGAGTACTGGAGTGGGTTTCCATTTCTTTCTCCAAAAGGAACTATAAAAAGAAAGAAAGTGAAGTCACTCAGACATATCCAACTCTTTGCGACCCCATGGACTGTAGCCCACCAGGCTCCTCCATCCATGGAATTTTCCAGGCAAGAGTAGGCTACCCTAAAAATTAAATTTAATAAATGAATGCTTCAGCTCATCTGCTTTTCTCTTCAGCACATTGCTTGGACCCTGTGTAGACCAGTGGCTTGCCAGCCTGGCTGCACAACAAAATCACCTGTTGAGCTTAAAAATAAAAAATACCATTACCTGGGGCCCAGCCCCAGAGATTCTATTGGTTTTGGGTGGAGTTCCAGGTATTGGTAAAAATTTTTAAAAAGTTCTCCAAGTGATTCTAATGTGCGGTCTGTGTGAGAACACAGGTGCAGGTAAAGCTTTAGTTTGTGGGTGACTCTGATTTTACAGTTGCATTATAGAGAAGTTTGCTCTAGATTAGATTTAGGAACATTGAGTCCTGTTTTACACTGACATCCACTAACATCGTGAATGTACCTTCTTCGAGGAAAGAAGTATTTCTGTGACAGCTGGCTTTTGGTGGCCCCCGTGAATGGGCTCCACCCCAGGGAAGGTTTGAGACCCAAAAGACCTTTGATCCACCCTCTGCTTTATCCCCTGGACAGGAGACATTTCTCCCACTCTTCAGGAAGTCCGTGTGCTAAGTTCACATAACAGGAAAACCTACACCTCCTAAACGTTTGACTAACAGGTACAAATGGGCAAAATCCAACTTCTTGACTAATTTCAAGGAATTTTCAGATTCAAACTTCATCTTATAATTGAGAAACATGATGGGTCATATTGCATGTTAAAACCCATAATCGCCATCCTTTGAGACAGAAAGCCTTTATCCATTAAAGTAGAAAGATGCCTGAAGTGTGAAATGAAATGTGCCAGATTACCTGGAGCTACCATGATTTCATGTTTCTTGGATCTGATCCTAAGAAAAGTTAGGTCATTCTGAGGGTCAATGTCACGGACGGTGCTCTTGGCTTTCATGGTCAGCTGATGAAGGAGACCTGCGTACTGAACTGTTGTTGAGTTGTCCAAGGTTGTTCGGATGGGGATGCCTAGTGCGAGATTTAATTATGGGTTAAATGTTTTTTTTCATTTTATAAAAGTTATATGTGCATCATAGAACTACTGGAAAATACTGGTAACTTTAAAAAGGAAGAAAAAATGATGACTCATATTACTCACTGGAACAATTTTACTTTATTTCCTTCCAATCTTTCTGCCTCCACATGGGTTTTAAAATTTAGTTGGATCAAATGATAATAGTAGATTTGACTGTTGCTTTTTTCTTCACTCAAAGGGCAGCATACAAGTTTCCCTTGTTGATGGTGCCATCGACATTATTTTTAGTGTCTGTAGACTTTACTATTCTTTGGACATATCATAATATGATCAACCCCCTACTATTGGATTGTTAGGTTGTGTGTTTTTGTTTTTGTACCTAATGGTGATGAACACTTCTGTACACAAATCTTTTGGAAGTTGTTAATTATTTCAGTAGTTAACATGTTTCTATATGAAATGCATTCCCCTAAGCGACTCTTGAGAGTCCCTTGGACTGCAAGGAGATCCAACCAGTCCATCCTAAAGGAGATCAGTCCTCAGTGTTCACTGGAAGGACTGATGCTGAAGCTGAAACTCCAATACTTTGGCCACCTCATGCGCAAAGCTGACTCATTGGAAAAGATCCTGATGCTGGGAGGGATTGGGGGCAGGAGGAGAAGGGGACGACAGAGGATGAGATGGCTGGATGGCATCACTGACTCGATGGTCATGGGTTTGGGTAGACTCCGGGAGTTGGTGATGGACAGGGAGGCCGGGCGTGCTGCGATTCATGGGGTCGCAAAGAGTCGGACACGACTGAGCGACTGGACTGAACTGAACTGAACCAAAGCACCCTGTCTATAGCGAGTTCACTGTGAAAAGCTGTGAAAAGTCCACTTGTGACATGGTGCTAGTTTCCCGAGACCAGAGAGAGACCAGATATACTCTCTGCACATGCTAGAGAGTGTATCAATAGGGGTTTTCGTAACTTCCTCATACAGTATTTTGCAAACCTTAATTTTTATGCCAGAAAACACAGCAACAAAGATGCTGTAGTTTGGCTGGGGATTCCCTGGTTTGCACTTATTCTTGGTTTAAGTGTGATTAAATTTGGCTACTTGTGTGCTCTATTGTTTCATTATGAGTGTAAAACAGACGCTATTAATTTAGCTGAAAAAAACCTAGCCAGACGAATATGCGAGTGTAATTTAATTCCGTTCAAGTCAATCCAGCCTCTATTCAGGCCACTCCATGCTTATTATGGAATAGGTGCTGTGCTAGGTATTTTACATACATTGTATCTAATCAGAGCCAACCTTCATATTATTTTGAAAACTACCAGATAAGCCAGAGAATTCCAGGGATTTGATTTGCAAATGTGCCTTGAGTTTCGGGGAACATGTGAAGGTGAATCTGGGATCGCTGTCAAGTTCCTCAGGAACCCGAATGAAGGCCCATCAATAAAAATGGCTAACGTGGCTCTCTTGTTTTTTTTCCCTCAGAGAATGTAGCTCCAGAAACTGGTCTGAGTGCTTCTAACTTGGGACTTTGTGTATGTTTCAAGAAAATCTTTGAGAGCCTCGACTCTGACTTTGAAACAGACTAATTTCCTTCCCCTTTAAGAAATCCATTCTCTCCAGAGTAGGTCTTGCCAAACAAGATGAGGAGGATGATATTTATAAGGAAAACCTTTCCAGTAAATAAGGTTCCATAGGAAACTTGTTAATTTCTATATTATTGTTTGCTGGCCACTTTCTCTCCGGAAGTCTGGAGAAGTTCTGTCTTTCACAGCTGGGGAACCATCACAACGTGCGCATCTTCACCAAGCAGGAAGCTGAAAGTGGAGCAAGCACTCAACCTTTGAAGAGTGCTTTTTGACCAAACAGTTTTATTTTGCATCATGAAGAGCGACTACCTACAAAGTCTGCATTGCTCAGTGTCAAAAAAGAAATACAAGCAGAATAAATTATTTAAAGTGCAGATGACAAGATTATGAATCAGATGCTCGGGCCTACTTAGTCAGTCTATTCATGATTCAAGTCAATAAATAATAGACCTAGGCTTCCTGAATAATAAGTGTGCACCTTGGAAACTCTTGGAGTTCTTCGTATCGCTGTGGACCCTTGGGGAAAAAAAATCCATCAACAAATGTTTATTGAGTTCTTGCTTGGGACCATGTGAGGTAATTAAAAAACAATTTATTAGGAAGTAATTTTAGCACATGGTATAAAATGCACCCACTTCTCCTTCTGAGAGGTAACCACTGCTCTGAGTTTCTTTGGTATCCTTGCAGCTATAGTCCAAGTCTATTCAAGTATGTTCATGCTTGTATTCTTTAACTGTATCATTCTCTATTCTGTACCTTAACTTCTTCCATTTGATACACTTGGGAAGTTGTTGCATTCAGTCCACATAAGGCTAGGGCATTCCTGTTAATGGCCGTATAATGCGACTGTTGAATGGATGCTTTGTCATGCACATAACTAATATATCTTCCTGACAAGAATTTGGGCTGTTCCCAATCTTTGCCTTTTATGAACAAGGCGACAGAATATGTCTGTGTGGATGCCATTTCACATTTGTATACACATGTGTGTAGGATAAATTCCTAAAATGTAACTTCTAGAACAAAGACTATAAATTCAATATTCCTGAATTTATGATACTGCTTTAAAAATATGACTCTTTATGATCCCACTAAGGTGGTACTTTTCAACTGTACACTTATATTTTGGTTGTTAGATTATATTTCAAAAATAAAAGGAAATGGCTGGATGGCTGGATAAAATCTAATGAAACTCAAATGATGGGTTGCTAGAAATGTCAAGAATATTCAAAATTAAGAGCCGGCAGAAATCAGGCTTATATACATAAGAATATACAACGGATATGATTGTCTGGGAAACAAATATGCATGTTCACCAGTATCTAGTTCAGTGATCAGGACTGTAATATTGTAAACAATGAATTATTTTATAAATGGGAAACCAATGTTAACAAAGAATCTAACAAAAACCTTCACCCCTCAGCATTGGGTTAAACTGATAAGCTCACTTCATTGTCATGGATAAGTCTATGTTTCAAATAGTGAAACCAAAGGACTCTTATTGAACGTGGCAGAGGATGAGATTTAAATGTAAAAACATGGTAGAAGGCTTACCTCACCACAATTAAAAACCTAAAAAATTGTTAAAATGATTTGCCTGGAATTAATCAACTAAAACCATTGGTAGAGAATAAGAACACACAAACAGCAGTTTAGTTAAATATTTACAGTGTTAAATTTCATGGGACTTCTGAATGCTGCAAAGCTACATTGTAATAAATGGCACATTCATTTAAACCTGAGTAGCCTGTTGAGATGGAGTATTTCATTTCATTCTAGTCACACAACTTATACCATATGCTATTAATAAACATCCTTGTCATACACTCTAGTTGTTAATAATCTGACCATAAAAATAAGCCCCTCATTTATATTTTTTTGGGAAAAGGTTAATTTGGCTTTCAGAAAAGTGCCCTGAACCTTAACACAACCTTTTCCTAGTAGAGGTTAATTAGAAGTTAATGAGTATGAAAAATAATATTGTGTTACTCTTGGATGAGAAAAGTGTTAATTGAGAGACCTCAGGAAAATAAAAGTCATTTTTAATTCAACTGCTCAAGAGATAATCACCATAACACATCCCTGCCTTTTCTTCCATATTTCAGTGTGTATGTGTGCCTGGCTGTATTTAGGATTTAAAAATACTGGTTACTGCTTCGTTTCCTGCTTTTTTTTCATCTAATATTGTGAGTAGTTTTTCATGACTCTAAATATTCTTCAACATTTTAAACAGAGTAATGGTTCATTGAGTAAATATTACATAATTAATTCAAAAATTTCCCCAGTGTTGGGAGAGATTTATTTACTTATTTGTCTGTGTATTTATTGCAGGAGAACTGGGTTTGATCCCTGGGCTGGGAAGATCTGCTGGAGAAGGGAAAGGGTACCCACTCCAGTATTCTGGCCTAGAGAATTGCATGGACTTCATTGCAAAGAGTCGGACATGACTGAGTGACTTTCGCTTTATGGCTGTTATACATGATGCCTCTCTGAGATCCTCTGGACCTAAATCTTTTCTTCATTATTCATTAAATAAAGTCCCAGTAGTGGAATTACAGATGAAAAGGTATGGATATTTTCAGACATTTAAAGCATATTGCCAGGATTATGAACTTTAGACTAAGTCTGCCATTAGACACATTGTCCTGGGTGTCAGGATTGGTGAATGAACGTACTGGAGTTAGTCGCTAAGTTGTATCTGACTCTTTGCGACCCCGTGGACTGTAGCCCACTAGGCTCCTCTGTCAATGGAATTTTCCAGGCAAGAATACTGGAGTAGGTGGCCATTCCCTTCTCCAGGGGATTTTCCTGAACCAGGGATCGAACCCAGGTCCTCTGCATCGCAGGCAGATTCTTTACTGTCTGAGCCACCAGGTGGGTTGAATAGAGTCCCCTCCAAAATTCAAGCCTCCCCTAAACCTTAGAATGTGATCTTATATGTAAATAGGGTCTTTGAAGATGTGAGGTCATACTAGATCAGTGTGGGACCTAACCCAATGACTGGGGTCCTTATAAGAAGAGAAAACAGCACAAAGAGGAAAACGCACACGATGATGGGAGGCAGAGGTGGGAGTGATGCGTCCTCAAGAAAACACAGCAAGGATTGCTGGAACTCACCAGAAGCTGGGAGAGAGGCAAGGAAGGATGCTTCTTTGAAGAAAGCCTGGACCACTGACACCTTGATTTCAACTTCTAGCCTTCCAGAACTGAGAGAAAATAAACGTCTAATCTTTTTAAGCCACTAAGTATGTGGTGCTTTGTTATGGCAGCCAAAGAAAACAAATACAGCCTCTCTGTGAAGTCCTCCAAATAATCCTTCTTGGTCCTGTGATGGAGCATATGCAAATGCCTGGGGCTAAAATCAGTTCAACCAGATCAGTTCACTCAGACTGGACTGCCTCCTAGAAATATTAGGCATAGCTCTTGATTTACCTGTAGGCTGATGTTAAAACCTCTCCCTCCTGATCACTCAAGCTGGGTCAATTTGTTACTTGACATTTGCTTGACACTGGGCATTTTTAAATTTTATTTTATTATGTAAAACACATCAAATATTTTATCTGTACAAATAAATTAAAAATTTCCACATTCACAGAACTACTTCATTACGATTCTGTTAAGTACTGGATATTGTGCCAGGCCCTTGACAATTATTATTTTACTTAGTTGTCACAATCATCAGTAAAGTAGGTTATTTTCCATTTTTAATAATAAAGGATTAAAGTTCAGAGCTTAAACAGACGTTCAGTGGGTAGTTGCTCAATAAATATTTATTGATGGATTTGCTCCATAATAATGATTAGCTGTGAGAGTCCGTTGCCAAGCACTGAGCTGGCAGTGTGCTGATTCCATGGTTATACCATGAATTATGTGAAGTAGCTACTCTTGTTTCAACTAACGCTCTGGGATCTGTGGCACCTCTCGCCCTTACAGATGCCTGAATTGGCAATGAAGCCAGCAGAAGCCTTTAAGAGACTGCCACCATACCCGAGAGAAGGCTCTGCAGACTGTTAATAGGCAAGTTCCTGGTATAAGTCTACAGATTTCATAGGTGGAAACATATTGGCCCTTCTGAAACTATAACCATGAAGACTATACTATAAATTACATTAAAATCAATTCTCAAAGATTTCATGAACTATGGCAAAGGAACAACTTCTTTTCAAATGAAGATTGAAACTGTGTACGCTTTACAATTTCAAAATGAAAGCAAACTGCCAACAATGGTACTCTTATCTTCACTGTAATAGTTTTATAGCTCCTCCTGAAATGTTAGAGTTTACCAAAGCTTTAAAAATTAGGCAATGTACAGCACTTCTTAGGAATATATACACATTAAAAATTTTATTTCCCTACCTCTTAGCACAGTGTTTGGCATGTAATTAATAGACACTCAATAGATGTTTGATAAGTAAATGATACAGCTAAAATATGTAAAATATACTTTTGATTTAAAATTCCAAGATGTTTGTCTAAGACTTCATACAACAAAAATGCTCTTGGTCTGCTTCTGCGTGTCAAGAAGGCAGCCTGTGATGTATTTACCTTCTGCATTTACAACCATCGTTCCTATAACCCCTTTGTGGCTCTGGATCCTCTTTAGAGTTTCCTCCACCTCTGCCTGGAAGAGATCAGGAAAAAAATTAACCAGAGTCTTTATGGTGACCCCAGTCCTAAAGAGAGTAATGTTTAGAAAGATCCCTTCTCCTTGGTTTTCTTAAACTAAGGTATTGGATGCTAAATCTCAGCTTTTGGAAGAGAGCTTTGAAACTGTCAAGACCCATAGGCAAACTTACATAAGACTCTCTACATATAACCCTGAAAAATCTCTTGCCCTGGACTTTTGCTGAGACAGAAATCTTGCCTCACAAGAGCTCACTTCATTTTTATCTGTCTCTATTCACTGGAAAAGTATTATGTTGAACAGAAATCTGCTCCTGGTCATCTTTCATTCATTGATCTTTCTGTATTCATATGAAAAATCCCATTTCTACATTATAGATAAAAAAATATTTATAGAGCTATATCACTACCTCCTTCCTTCTAAAAGCATCACTTAATAAGAAATCATATTCTCAGTTGTAAATGTCATCTAACTGTGAGTTCAGATGATTAAATTAAAAATATTCTGTGAAAACAATGTGTCCCAGGATTCTATTGGTAACTACAGCCTGGATCTCAGGGCAAGCTGAATGTTCAACCATGAATGTTATAATCCCATTATTGGGTTTTAAATTTAGCTTTCTGAATCTTATGCATAGACTATATTGTACCAGTTTCTTTCCTTCTACAAACACTAAAATTAAGAATAATATTTTCTAGCCTGCATATTTTTCATAACAGAGTAATCCCTGGATATTCTGAATTCAAACAGTATTCTGCAGAGTCTTTTGATGAGGGTTTATAAAATAATTTTCTTTCCGACATTGTATGGGTGAACATTATGTTACTTTTGTCAAAAAAGCTTTCTTTTGACTCAGTTTTCTTTTGACCCTAAGGTGGGCAGGAGCACTTTTTTCCTCTTTCCACCACTATAGCAGGTGTTTTCTAAATTTCAGGCATTCGTGTACCAGGTTTTCAATTTCTGCCATTATAAATACCATCTGTATTATTCACCCAGCACATTTTTAGAATTATCTCACTGCTAAAAGTTTAAATGAATGCATTTTAAAAGGAAACTATACATCACTACCACAAATGCAAATCCTGTATCATTTGTCACAGGCAGAAATAACCATAAAAAAAAAGAGAGAACATATTATTAAATTCTACTCCAATGAAAATTATGAGCCTGAGGTTTACACTTCAGGTGAAAAATCAAAACTACTTGAGGATAGATGATAGTGGCACTAAAAGGACCTAAAAGTGCCAGAAAGTCTCTCCTGGAGACTGAAAAAAATGAAAGAGGAATAACTTTCTCTGATGTGATTCACTCTGTGGTTTTTGGTATTTCTGAGCCATCTTAAAGTAGCAACTCATGTTTGCATCTCTCTTTGGGGAACACTGCACGAAAGCATCAGAGTCGGACACGACTGAAGCGACTCAGCAGCAGCAGCAGCAGTAGCACTAAAGCGTAATACCTGACCAGGGGATTAAAGAACTACTTTTTTGTGCCATCTATAGGACAGCTTCCACAACTCCTTACATCCGCTGGCCTCTTTATCATTTTCTGTTTTACTCATCTCTCCCTGCTTGTCCCAGCCTGTCCCCCTATTTTCCAGGTGTTTTTTCCTTTCGTGATTTCTGAGCCCTCCTAATACAGTCTCTAAATTCCCATTGCCAATACCTTTTCATTCCTTAAAAACAAAACAAAACACACATACAAACACCAAAAAACGCTTCCGGTTTGTTCTTTTTCGACCTTTCCTCTTTCTCCATTTTCCTTTTCTTCGCCTCTCTTCTCCCATCCCTACTTCCTCTTTTCTCTTTAATTTTCTTTCTTCTCTCTCAATAGCTCCTCCTTTCCCCACCTCTCCATTCCCTTGAGCTCCCTGTCCCATGTCTTTCTTTCCTCTCAGGGTGATTCTTCTCTCCTCCATGGTGCCTCTTCCCCTTTCAAACTTCCCTCGCTGTCGAGGAGATTTCTCATTCCCCTCAGGATGTTTCTTCCCTTTCATATCTCTTTCTCGATATTCTTCTTCCTCAAGTATTACTCCCAGAAGACAGCCCTAGATATCTATTCCCCAAGAAAGCTTCCCCCATCTACACATCTTCCCTTCCTCCACGGTCGCCCCCTCTGGTCCCTCCAGCGTCTCCGTGTCGCCCCTCCAAGAAGTTTCTGGAGCTCTCAGCCTTCCTCGCGGTCCCGAGAACTGGGCAGCGAAGGGACCCTGCCTGTCGGCACCCTTGGCGGGTGGGTTGTTGACAGAGACCCTGGATTTACCATTTTATGGGCGGCGAGACTCTGGGCTCAGACTTGCGCCACCGCTGCCCGGGATGTCAACAACGCTTCCAGCCGTTGCTAGGAAACAGTGGAGGAAGTGATCTCCCGGAAGCGTGGGCACCCGCGTCTGCGTGCGCGCAGGGCGGGCCCTGCGGGGCTTGCACTTCCGCCCGGAACTGGCTTGACCCTCCCGGCCGCCGTAGCCCGGGGCTGGGGACCGTTGCCCCAGCACTCACCTGAGCTGAGGAGAACTGAGGTACTTAGGCCAGGCTTCGAGTCGTTCGTTCGAAGTTTCAGTCAGTCATTCCTTGAGGTACGCGTTCGGTAACCGCCAGTTCTCCGTTCAAGACGATTTATTGACCACTTACCATGTCCCGTTCTCTGGGCCTGTGGTACATTCTAGAATGGGAGACAGACAAAATGCGCGACAAACGAAGCAGTACTGTCCAAGTGTGATATGTGTCCTGGAGCAAATAAACCGGGGTGGTTCCTTCTGACCCTGGGGTGATATTTGGTATAGACTCAGCTGCCCTGTGACCCGCGGAGTAGTTCCTGAGGCGTTGCCTCGTGCAGGGCTGACAGGTTTGTTACCCCTCCCCCCCCCAACCAAGGACATTTCTTTTTAATTGAAGACATATATATATGTGTGTGTGTATAATAAGTATGTATATATCACAGTATATAGTAAATATATATTTATTAAATTACATCTCCCCACCCCCAACACCGTAGGTGAAGTGTCATCATAACGTCTTAGGTTCTCCTGTGGTTGTAGCACCCCCAAGCTGCTCTTCCCTCAGTTGTAGAGCTGCTGCTTCCCAGTACTTATACTTAATCCAGTAGGACTGTATTTTATTTTTTACAAAGTCATTTGCCCACATTTCTGAGTTGCTGAAAAATGGCAGGTTAGTACTGAGATTCTGCAAATCTCCGTAGAAGAGCAGACCATTGGGTCTTTGAGGAACTGAGGGAGGAAACAAGTTAAAGGTCAACTAGGGATGGTTACAAGTCTCTTGGTCTTCCGAGGGGCATTGATGTATCTTGGCAGTCTGGGAGGAAGACACAGTGTATGTGAGGCACAGTGGGAAAATTTTGTGGCATCTCCTCCTGGGGTTTGAAGAGAACTTGAATGACTGAACTCTAGACAGGTCTTCCCTAGTGGCTCAGTGGTAAAGAATCCTTCTGCCAAGCAGGAGACACGGGTTCCATCCCTGGGTGGGGAAGATGCCCTGGAGAAGGAATTGGTAACCCACTCCATTATTCTTGCCTAGAAAACCCCATGGACAGAGGAGCCTGGTCCATGGGATTGAAAGAGAGTTGGATATGACTTAGTGACTGGGCGTGCATGCACTAAATATAAGTGGTCAAGTTGGGACTGCATTTCCATAGGGACCCCGCTATAGCGGCTCCCTGTAATACTGACTCAGTTTGTGCTTTTGTTTCCAGTAAGTGCGTCACACCAAACAAGGCATGGTTATTGCTAGGGAAGTCATCTAGAATCTGAATACGCCGTCTTCCTGGTCAGGGATGCCCTGGAAAAGTTTTGAACTTGGCTTGGGACTAGATGATCCATTTCAGCTTGGAGTCTTACCCTTTTATGGTACTATGTTATGTACAAAAATACTCGCTGAAGCTCTAGTTCTGCTTCAGTTTTTTTTTCCCCCTTTGAGAAACTTACTGCTTCTCAAAAAGCCAAGTCACAATGGCTAACTCATGCCCCCTTGTCACTCCACACTTGACACTCCAGTCAAGGTCGTTTGGAATGGGCAACTGAGATTCTGGGGGAGGAGCTGATGTGTGTGTTTGCAGATCTAGTTCTGCACTGATTGCTTGTATGCTTTTCGGTGATAAAAGTGTAGGCATATACTGCAATACTGGATGAACTGTATAAACGCTGATTCTTGGGCTCTCTGGGTGTTTTGGATCCAGGAGATTCCTGCTTGGTTGTGCAGCCATTTGTTTTGCTTCTGAAAATCAGTGGCAGTGCACCATGTTATCGCTGATGTCAGTCAGCATTAATGAAGGAACTGACTGCATATGCATGGTCTGTGAATCTCCTCCTTTCTGAAGTCAGGGTGTCAAACTCATTCAATAGCTGACAGCTGTGATTAGCGCAAAGAGAGACTCTGCCATGAAAGGCACTGACAGGAGTATCCAACTGCTGAAAAAAGTAATAAGAAGTAGCCAAGCTGACTTCCAGCCAACAGTCAAGTTTGACTCAGTGTGCACAGAAAATCAATGAGGAGAATATGAGCCATTTTCTCCGTATCGATTTTCACTCCTAATTATTCCTTGGAGGTAGCATGGTTTAATTTTTATGCTTTTTGAGAGACTATAGTGAATATCCAGAGCTGTGCTGTATAAAGTATCTTGGCAGCATCTATCACGTTCCCTATACCCGTGCTCAGTATTTGGGAACCCCTCTTTCTCTTTTTATCTTCTGTTCATCCCCTCACCACTTCTTTTGACCCACAGTAAATGCTAACTATAGTTCAATAACTTTAAACTAATGTGAAAGAATTAATGAATACTACTTTTTGCAAGTACTCTTGAAGTGACACCACCGAAGTTGTATGAAGATACAGTAGAAGATACTTAATCTTCTACATGTGAAGATAAAGTCTACTGTTCTTCACATGTAATCTTGTCAAAGTGAGATAATTTTCTGCTGGGATCTCTCTCTCTAATAATTTGTTTCTACTCTCTGTTTAATCTGAAGAAATCCAGGTAACTTCATGAGCTCGAGTTTTCTCTTGGTATTTTCAGTACCATCCTGTATAGAAACTGGCATTCCTACCAGTTGGCAAATACTAAATAATGAGCCAAGGAGTATACTTTTTGCCCATTTTCTCATAAGATAAGGCATTATTTGTCAGTTTAAACACAACTTCTCCTAGTACTCTAGTGATTTTGCTCAAAAAAGTGTACACTAGGTTCTTTGATTTCCCTGATGGCTCAGTTCAGTCGCTCAGTTGTGTCTGACTCTTTGCAACCTCATGAACTGCAGCATGCCAGGCCTCCCTGTCCATCACCAACTCCTGGAGTCCACCCAAACCCATGTCCATTGAGTCAGTGATGCCATCCAACCATCTTACCTTCTGTCATCCCCTTCTCCTCCTGCTCTCAATCTTTCCCAACATCAGGTCTTTTCAAATGAGTCAGCTCTTCGCATCAGGTAGTCAAAGTATTGGAGTTTCAGCTTCAACATCAGTCCTTCCAGTGAATATTCAAGACTGATTTCGTTTAGGATGGACTGGTTGGATCTCCTTGCAGTCCAAGGGACTCTCATGAGTCTTCTCCAACACCACAGTTCAAAAGCATCAATTCTTTGGCACTCAGCTTTCTTTATAGTCCAACTCTCACATCCATACATGACCGACCACTGGAAAAACTATAGCCTTGACTAGATGGAACTTTGTTGGCAAAGTAATGTTTCTGCTTTTTAATATGCTGTCTAGGTTAGTCAAAACTTTCCTTCCAAGGAGTAAGCGTCTTTTAATTTCATGGCTGCAATCACCATCTGCAGTGATTTTGGAGCCCACCCAGAAAAATAAAGTCAGCCACTGTTTCCACTGTTTCCCCATCTATTTGCCATGAAGTGATGGGACTGGATGCCATGATCTTAGTTTTCTGAATGTTGAGCTTTAAGCCAACTTTTTCCCTCTTCTTTTTATGTCTCAGTGGTAAATTATCTGTCTGCCAGTGCAGGAAACGCAGGTTCACTCCCTGGATTGGGAAAATCCCCTGGAGAAGGAAATGGCAACACACTCTGGTATTCTTACCTAGGAAATCCCATGGACAGAGGAGCCTGGCCTGCTACAATCCATGGGGTTGTAAAAGAGTTGGACATAACTTAGGACTAAACGGCAACAGCAACAACAGTTTGCTTGAAAATTGCCCTTAATACTGAAGCAGAATTAGGGGATGTCAGTGACATTAGTAAGTGTTATAACTGACCCAGTACCATTTTGGAATGATAGATTTAGAGTTTCAAAAATCAGCCATTTTCTACTTTATATTAGGACAAAGGCAACCTCTAGGGTAATTCTTTTCCGGACTCAAGTGTAACACAAGCATTTACTTCCTGTAAGGAAATCTTTTCGGTTGTAATTAAATGGTTTCCTAGAGAACAGAATTTGGAGTTAGATGCAACTAGGATTGATGTTTCTAGGTGTGTTTCTGTGAGTAAAGTAAGTTATAAGAGCTTCTGTTTCCTCATTTATAAAATAGGAAAGACAATATCTCACTTAGAGGGTTTATGTGAGGTGTCAAAGATATTATGTGGGTAAACTACTTGGCTTGTGTTGGGTGCCCATTATGGATCATTTAACCGCATTACTTTCTGTGTCATTTCTTTTCTTTAGTGTCCTTCCTAATTTCCTCCATTCCTTTACTCCCTTCTTTCTCTCTTTCTCAGCTTTCTCTTTCTCTAGCCTTTCCCTCCTTACTTCCCTTCCCTATTTCTGTCCTCTCTTCCTTCTTGACTACTTTCTCTTCAACCTCCTTTTCCTTCCTCCCCTCCCTATGAAAAAAATCTAGAATTTGTATTACTGACTTTCTCACTAAAGAACATCTTTCCCATTGTTCTCTTATTCCTCTTCTCCAGTTATTCACTTAAAATGTTCATCTAATGTAATTCATCTACCTCTCATCTCATTTTTTCACAATTCCCATTTTTAAACTTCTCGCTCCAGCAAGCAGTTTCCATCTTTGTGCACTGCACTCAATAGATAGTCTGAGTATCTTAGGGGTGAGGGAAAATTGTTACTATTTCCTGGTCTATTAATTTTGTTCAAAGAAGAAAGGACTGAAGGGAGCAATAAGAGAACCATGCACTTTATATACCCCTTCTTTTTTCCTGATAATACAGTCAAAAGGTCTCTAGTCTATTTAGTTCAGAATTGCTTTCATTGTTAGGTATAACACACAAAACAATTTGGTGCACAAAAGTTGATTGGTGAGTTACTAACATAGGCCACGTGCCTAAAAGAAAATACACAGTCATTGAGTTACCACAAAGTGAACTCCTATGTAACCCCCAACCAGGTCAGGAAATAGAGCACTGCCCACATTCCAGAAGCTTCCACATGGTCATTTCCAATCATTACTT